GGGAAGTTAGGTCTGATGACCGGGAAGGCCAACTAATTGCTCGTTAAAAATTATCTCTGTGTATCCGTATAACGAGTCATTTCGAACATAAATTCATACGAAGCTTCTCTTTTTCACTCGCTGCTTCCTCTTATTAATGCGTATCGTAAATTTCCTGTCGACCTTTTCGGACACCCCGTACATAGACTGCATGATGTTCGCCGAACATATTTCACACGTAGTACACGCACACGTCCAATAAACGAAACGGAGCAATCAAGCTGCCAGATATATATTTCTGAGAAACAATTTCTCTCAATAGGCTGAATTATGGATTCGATAGTGACATGAGCAACAAATTGTTCTCTTCGCTGATGAAACTGATACGACCGGACAAAATTGAGATCGATAACGCAACCGCGTCCTGGGCCCTCGACATCCTCGGTTACACGGTCGAGAGACTTATGCTCGAGGTGAATAACGTTGTTCTTACGTTCTGACAAATCTGTAGAGGACTTGCGTAGAGGATGTTTCATCCTGAGATTTATTAGACGAGATTGCTCGTTGTTGAAACCGTCGAATATACAGGGTGCTTGGTAACTGGTGGTACAAGCGGAAAGGGGGTGATTCTGCGCGAAAAAAGAAGTCAAAAATATAGAATAAACATTTTTCGTTCGGGGCTTTGTTTTCGAGAAAATCGACTTTGAATTTGCGCTCGGTACGCCTGCACTTTATCGCGTCTCGTTATAACGGATCTCACTGTAGGTTGTTGTCTCGATGGAAGAACTTAAAAAATTGAAAAAAATTTTTATTCTACATTTTCGACTTCTTTTTTCGCGTAGAATCACCCCCACCAGTTACCAACCACCCTGTATTTCAAATAATTAAATAAATTAGTATACAGACAATATTCGCTGAGACGCTGCACGTAGCGGCGACATTGTTTCGCTTGGAATTTATTTATTATTATATTACGTGTATCATAACGATCTTGATAATCCTAGGTAAAACAACAACATGATTTGAATTGTCCTCTACTCATGTGCCGCTACAAATCCTTTCGTTAGCCTCGTTCATCGAAAAAAATAATCGTCTAGCCCGTGGAGAAGATACGCTCGCTGGTTCTTTTTTCCTTTTTTGTTTAAGGAAACGAAAGAGAGAGATACAAAGCGACGAAGAACGAGCAGGGAAAAATATTTGTCTCGTTAAATCGGTTCTGCTTGGATAGATAAGTTCATGGAGGAATTATATCAATCATACTTGTTCCTCGAAAATTTGTGAATTTTTCTCTCTTCTCGTGTTTCCAGTTTCCATCGATCGAGAATTTCGTATTCTCTCGACCCTTTTGCTGCCTCAACAAACACGATAATCTTTACTTTGTTACAGTTGATGCATCCTTGTAACTTGTTGCTAGTGAGATGCGGCTGGTTGGGACAACTTTACGACTGTAGTAAAATTTTCAAAACCGTCAGATCGAACGAAGGCTTCTGTTGCGGCTTCAATTATCATTTTGTCGGCGATTACAAGTAAATTCGAAAATCCGAAAGTCTCTACCTATAACGAAACTGCGCTCTTTGTAATTCTACGTCTAATTGACAGAAGCTTCTGATAAAAAAATATAGAACGTAGCTGATATGTTCGGAAATATATAAAAAAAGAAAAAGTTCCATCGAAACGTCTCCGTCCTTTTATTTATTTCGTTTCGATAATCCGTCTCGATTAATTTTCCCTATCAGAAATGTTGTATTTTTATAAACATTTTAATGAAGTTTAATGTTGCATGTTCGATTGCTTCCAGTGACGAATATGCTTGGTTAATGAACATCACGATGGACTCCGAAGAACTAGACGTATTAACTTCGAATAATTCTTTCCCGGGTGTTGACAACATACTGGTAATAGTGTGCAATGATTAATACGTAAACGTATCGTTTGATAATTACTCGGCAAATGTTCACGAGCTACACGGTGAAAGGATTAATGAAGAGGTTAAACACAGGAACCTTCTGCTTCAGCACGTGCCTGGAACAGGAAGTGATATTGGCTTGGCGGTGGCGTTGAACATCGACGCTGACAATTACAAAAGTTCGGTGAGGCAATTTGTAGGTGCCACGGTTTTGATCCACGATCCGTTAGATTACCCTGATATCGGTGCACAATCCGCCTCTCTGCAACCGGGCCACGTAATGTCGATGACGCTGACCGGCACGAAATTAGAAAGCTCCAAGGATATTCAGAATATACCTCTGTCTAAAAGGATGTGCTTGTTCGATGGCGAGGTACGTGAGGCAATTGATATACGCAGTGATTAGAAAAATCTATCGGTACATCGTTAACGTTCATCGTATTTTAGCGTTTACCTTTTTATTTTACCTATTTATACAGGGTGGTTGGTAACTGGTGGTACAAGCGGAAAGGGGGCGATTCTACGCGAAAAAAAGAAGTCGAAAATATAGAATAGACATTTCTTTTTTTAATTTTTCCATCGAGACAACGATCTACAGTGAGATCCGTTATGACGCGATAAAGTGCACGCGTACCCAGCGCAAGTTCAATGTCGATTTTCTCGAAAACAAAGCCTCGAACGAAAAATTTTTATTCTATATTTTCGACTTCTTTTTTCGCGTA